AATTTAAACACATATTTCCAAGGTCATACCGTCTACCACTCACGACTTCAAGGTCACATTTCAAGGTTATATTTCAAGGCCATATTTCGATTCAAGGTCACATTTCAAGGCTATATTTCAAGGTAGCATTTCAAGGTCATATTTCAAGGCCATGTTTCAAGGTTACATTTCAAGGTCACATTTCGAGGTTAAATATGCGTTCAAGGTTGGCTCCCAAGGTCGACTCTCAAGGGCGTTCTAGAACATACAAACCCTACCTACTGCGATTTGAAGTTATTATAGGCTCCCACGGTCTTATTAGTTTTATATAAAGCTTGTGCTGAATTCTTTTCATCAAGAACAGTGCACAGTTCATTAGTTAACCAAGGTGATGGTGGCTTATTAACTCTTACAGTTTTAAAAGGTGCATGTTTATTACCTTCTCATAAATATTAGATTTCGTAAATAATTCATCTATGCCCGATGTAGAAAGATCGATAAGAAAATGATCCTCACTGAAATGTTTAAAATCCCTGATTGTGATAAGTTTTTGTTTTCTTTTATGATGGAATGTCAAAATGAAAAAATTCGAGTTTGTGGTCCGAAATACCATTCGTGTCCATGACGGAAGAATAGCTGCATGTTTGAGGATTATTTAAAAATATTGGATCGATTAATATTGCAGTACTATCTGTGACACGGGTGGCTTCCGTTACGATTTGTGTGAACCCCATCAACTCAAAACTCAGTGAGAATATATTGTTATTAAAAAAAATGTATATTCTGATGTCCCAATATCACGATGTTATGATTATATAACGAGAGGCTGGATAGGAAACCATTTAATAAATCTGCACATTGTTGTATATTTTTTGTCTATCGGAAGATGATCGGTACTGTAAGTTTTTTATACTGGTGATTTGAATACAAACAGTTGCAACATTTCGAATGTGCCTGCTTACAAAAGGAAGTGTCATGGTTTTCTCCACACTGAGCACAGACTTGTATACAGATACATTTTGAAATCCTAATAGAATTTTTCCATTATAATCTTCAAAAATCTGTTTAAATAAATTAACTGTGACCTCTGCGTAAATAATATAATTTTTTTTTGTGCAACATACTTAATAAAATTTATCTCAATATCTTCTTTTTCTATGAAATGGTTCTGTCTTGTGATGTCTTCTACTACCTCTTCTTCGTAATTCATTCATCTGTATGGTATCCCACGATTTTCATTTTAGGTCTAAACGTTTTCGGTTCAGACACCTGGTACGATGCTGGCAATTTTTCTGAATTTCTTCCTTTTACTGTTCATGATTACTTTCGTGGACCTTAATTTTGATTTGAAGTTTAGACAAGCTGGCTTGGCATAATCACTATGCTTTTCAATGGGATTTCCTTGCATTTTGTAGCATAGGTCTTTTTTACAATTTGCGAATACGAAGTGCTTGTCATACTTGATGTTTCAATTATGTCAATCCTAGTATTCAGTTTCTTGAGCGCGTCAACTACAGACAATAAATTCAGCTGATCTTGAAATCTAGTGTTCTCGTTCACAAGTTGCTCAATCAATCTATCTTTTTCTATTAATAACTGACAGTATGAATTAACTTTTTCACATAATATTTTTATTTCCTATTTCAGCTCCTCATTTGTTGTTCTAAGGCACTTACTGTTTTTAAGTGTTTCCGTTGGTGCATCACTTGTTTTGGTTACCACCATTTTAGCACTCTCAGACCTAACTGAAGCAATCTCAGCAGTTTTCTTTTTTTTTTCCTTATTCATGGAGTACCCAGTATGGTCGTATCACTTTCTTCTAGTCTATATGATTGATGTCAAATATTTTGGCAAAATTCTTCGCTGTATTGGCCGAAATAATGTTTGACACTGGAAAATATGTTATCCTACAAGAATATCAACGGAGCAGCACCCCAACAATAGTTGCAGTAGGGAGTAATAAAATATTTCAACAGTTTTCTCGAGGTATACGCGGATTCAGTGTAATAAAGCAAGTCAAAATGAAGTGACAATGGCAATGATGATGGCTTCCTATACTATCTTGTTTCAATACGCTTTCGTTCGTTATCCTGATCAGAGGCTAAGCTTAGAGATGCTGAGTTGCCAAAAAGCACAAAACATCTGTCCATGGTTGACTGTCTGTGGTCGGACGGACAAAACTAGTATATTTAGATAGTAGCTATTCTTCGTTTTTTAATTTCAGTGAAAAATATCGATGACTTTGTTTCAAACAAAATCAAGTCCTTGTTAGTCGACTCAAAATTAATGACAGTTTTCTCGTCGAGGGTCTAACATCATCGCCACATAATGATTTTTTTCAACACACTAAGAATAAGGTGCAAACACAGAGTGGTTAACGATACAGTAGAAAGAACAGTCAAGTTAATGTAAGACTTTCATGTCTTAATCATTGCTGATGAACAGAAACAACTCTTATTACGTTGCGTAAAAGAACACAGGCAGGTATATCCTAACTAAAAAGAAAACTTAGTCACTTAATAAGAATTAGGTTTTGAAATCCATACATGGTTTCCCTATTACTGTAAAATTCAAAGCTTGTCCGAAAGTCGGCACGGCACGGGTTATCATTCCCAGCACAGGTATTATGTAAAAAACCTATAAAATGTCATATCCATCTATGGACGAATAGGTCAACTACATGCATTGTTGGTTGCATATGTTTTGTGAAGCCGAGTCGTCTTTAGTTTCTGAGACGAAAGTTAGTTGAACAGCAAGATCGCATCTGGTTGATTGTGCGTATTGGTCTGCATGTGTATAAAATCAGTGATATTTGCTGTGTGAGAAATTCATTACTGTATATGCTGCCAATGAAGTATATCTATTAGCAGCGCCTGACGGATTATTTATATGTTGTTCTTTTTGAAGGCAGGTTATGTTCAAAGTTATAAATAAATAATAAATATTCTTTACGTTTTTTTGTATGTTTACGGTAAATCACCACCGCGCCCGCGTTGTGTGTAATTACTGATAGCATGTATATGACTTTTATTTCGACAGTGTACAGTGAATATAATTATTTCTTATCTCCCTCATTTTTTAAATTCAGCAAATTTGCATATGTACTTTCCAAAATGGACAAGAAAAAGTGGATGCGCAACTAATTTCTAGTTTTGAATCTCAAGTAAGAGTATTTGAGACAAGAACCCAATGGAATTATCATCAATTCATATTTTATCAGATCCAAACATTGATAACTGAAGCCTCGTGACGTTTAGGCAACCTGTACAAAAACCTACACAATGTCACAAAAAACAATATAATGTCAAAAAATCGACATTTTATCGTTTTTTTTTAAATTTTATAGGTTTTTTGTGACATATCGTAGATTTTTCTACAGGGTGTCAACTTAGCACCAGATGTACACCTGAGGTGAACTCGTTTTGTAAGCTGTACGTATTGCCTAAACGTTATGATGCTTCAACTATCAATGTTTGGCTCTGATGTGGTGTAACATGAGATGGCTGAGGTCTAAGCTGTAAGTTGTTTAGCAGAGCTGGAAAGAAACGGCAGTGCATAGGTGCATAGTGAGGATTTGTATGCTAATAATCTGAGTTGATGATAATTCCAGTGGTTTCTTGTCTCAAATACACTTACTTGAGATGTATTTAAAGCTAACTAGAAATTAATTAGGCATCCACTTTTTCTTATTCATTCTGGAAATTACATACACATATGCAAATTTGCTAGGTTCAAAAATGAGAGGGAGAAGAAAAGAAAATCACTGGGTGATGAAGTAACAACTAAGAAAATATGCTAAAAGCAGGAATGTTTATGAAAGTGAAAAGGTTATTACATTATTTTTTATTTCCAGTCATTTAAATTTTATAGAAATTTATTTTGCGATGTCAATAGAAAATAGAAATCAGGCACTGCGAAAATGTTTGATGTGTGATGTGTCATTCCTAATGTTTTTGTGATTGGCTTAATTGCACAAGACGCGGGCGCAGTGATTATTCACCGTAATGCTCCTGAGATTTTTTGAAAACTCAAAATTAATATAACCTGTCTTCAGAAAGGACAACATATACGAGGGGGTACCAAAAAAAAACTGGAATAATCTTTTAATAGCTATTTATTTTCAACCTTTTCACAAAGTAACCTTATCACCTTCAAAATACTGTCCACTACAACTAATACACTTGTCCCACCGGTGCTTCCACTACTCGAAACATTTTTGAAGTCTTCCTTAGAAATGTCTGACAGCTCCGCCCTTGTTTTTTTCTCTTGACCTCCTTACTATCGTCAAAGCGGCGTCCTTTCATGCCTCTTTTCATCTGTGGAAATAAGAAAATGCCGCACGGACCCAGTTCAGGTGAACCATGCCATTTTTAGCCAGAAACTGTTGAACAGAGATGGCTGTGTGCTCAAGTGCATTATCTTGGTCTAAGAACCAGTCTCCTGACTGCCACAAATCGGGTCTTTTTTGCGGAGCACTATTTCGCAATCGTCTTAAAACCTCCAAATAGCACAAGCTCTCCATTTTTTCAACATTTTCATTGATTCGAGCAGTTGATGGACGTCCAGAGCGAGGTTTGTCATCAATCGACATGTCGTCATTTTTAAATCGAGCAAACGACTCATACACCTGAGTTTTCCCATAGCACAATCTAGGTAAGCTATTTTCAACATTAAAACAGTTTCAGCAGCATTTTTACCAATCAGAAAGCAAAATTTCTCAGCTGCACGTTGCTCACTAAAGCTTGCCAACGTAAAAAACGAAACAAGCCAGATCGACAACTCAGGTGGCACTGAACTGGTAATTGCTATTCCGGTTATTTTTGGGTACCTCCTCGTAAGTAGGTAGGGTTTGTATGTTCTAGAACGCCCTTGAGAGTCGACCTTGGGAGCCAACCTTGAACGCATATTTAACCTCGAAATGTGACCTTGAAATGTAACCTTGAAACATGGCCTTGAAATATGACCTTGAAATATAGGCTTGAAATGTGACCTTGAATCGAAATATGGCCTTTAAATATAACCTTGAAATGTGACCTTGAAGTCGTGAGTGGTAGACGGTATGACCTTGGAAATATGTGTTTAAATTAGTGCAGCGCTCGGAGAGGAGGCAGTTCAGTTGTTGCAAGCATTGCAATATCATGGTAAATATAGTGAAGAAAAGTCGGTGCTTAGTGTGTCAAACGGAGAAACGGTTGAAGTACTCTAAGGGGTGGCGCTGGGCGTGTGGGTGGTGCTGTTGCAGCATATTTCTGGTTTATTGTGGGACGTGTATGCAACATCGTCCCCATAAGATAGGCTGGATTTACGATACGAATGAGAAGGACGAGAAGTGTATGTGGTCTTTGTTAGACTCCCCATAAGATTTGGAAAACGTAGGAGTACGAGGACTAGCCTAGTGGGTGATGTCAGGAGGGAATGGATTTCTAATTAAATGGAGTGAACTGCAAGATGGATATAAAGTGCGCTATCCATACGGATTGAGTTATGAAGGAAGTGTGAGAAATGCATATGTAGAATGGAGCGTGTGTCAAGAAAGCTATGCGAGGGGTGTAGAATGGAGCGAAGAACGTTGTCAGCAGTATTACTACATTGGTACGAGCATGATGGGCTCCATAGTATGTGAAAGGTGCATCATAGGAGCAAAGTATGCCCTATTTAATAACCCGTCGGGCACAGCTAATAGATTACTTCATTGGTAGCATATACAGTAATAATTTTCTCACAAATCAATACACATATTCATCCAGGTCTTGCTACTCAACCAACTTTCTTTCTTTTACATCTTCTCAGATAAACACTACAGACTACTAGGCTTCACAAAACATATACATTCGACTTTCAGCAACCAACAATGCATACGTGAGTGCCTCGTGTCAAAATTCCTCCGTAGATGAACGCTCACAGCGATCATAGCGAGCAAACGTTGAATGAACTACTTGCACACTAAAAACTACCCAGTCTACAGGATGACAATTTGTCGTTTTTTTAGGTTGTCTACATAATACCCCGGCGGCAGGGTTAAGTGGAGGGACAGGTTTTTCTGAAATGGGCATAGATAATATCATACAGCTCACGCTAGATAGCGCTAACATTAGCTAGATACACACCTCGTTTCATGTTCTGCGCATGCTGTGTTGTTTCGTTTTGAATTTGAAAATTAGATCTATTCGACGATGCGATACAAGTAAGTACTTTTAGCTAAGGTGCTAATCTACTCATATATAATTATTATAAATATAATTTATTTTCAGAATGTTTCAGAGAAATAAATATTGCTTCGTCAACGGTTACAATGATCAGGATTCTACAATAATAATCCGATAACATCGTTCGATATGATCCAATAATGAGCAGTAGCGAGACAGGCAATCACATACTTAATCTGAGATTGTTTCTAAAAGAGATTTTTCAGCAGATGAGATAGAGTTATTGTAAAGTGAAGACAAGCATCCTTCCATCCTGCCACTAAATCTTGCATTCGTATTTTATGTATTTAACATGTTTTCTTCAGATCACAAGTTACACTTTTGATAAGCAACTAAAAGGCGTTTACTTATTTAGTTCGTTTGAAAATAGTCAGAACTCATACGCCCAACGTTTTTGCCCTATATAGTTTAGATACTTTAGATACACCTAACAGAAGATCGCGCCATTCAAAGGTGCCAGCGGCCCAACAATCGTACACCCTTTTTATCAGAAGAGGAACTGATTATTAATTCGTGTGAGGAAAAATATAGAAAAGGGGAGATTTAGAAAAGGCGAGAAAGTTTCTTTTTATTTTCGTGATAGATTGCTCTTGGTAATAACGCAGCCGAGGCCGATGAAAGAATCTTATTCAATGGTGAAAATTTGCAAATTCGGATCCGAATGATGCTATATTACAGCACGGGTACAGAGGAACTGTACAATATTATTATATACTGAAAGAGACAAGTAGTCACCATTGAAGACCAAAAACCGGGGGTTTCTAAAGATTTGAGGCACAAGACCAATTTTTGTATACCGAAGTAGCCTCGCAGGCAGCAACCTAAATACAAGGGCACCACGGCTGCTCTGAGGACTTTGTTAATCCGATTTTTGAACTGCTTAAGGTTAGTAGAACTAGGAAAGGCCTCCTCAAGTAGGATTTTCCACAATTTCGATACTCTAAGGACAAAGGAGAGGCCGTATCGGCCAGCTCTGGATGTACGATGGTCAGGCGGGTCTGTTTGGTAGGCACATCGCGCGACGGCATTATGGAAGAGGAGCAAAGTCCGTTAGCGTAGCGGTAGAAGGAGAGCTGGCTCACCGTCGGTCCGTCGGTGCGAAAGTATTCCGGGACTGCCCGTTAGAGAAAAGTCTTCGATCAGTCGAACAGCGCTCCTCTGAACATCGTCGAGCATGGATAACGTAGTCGGGGCGGCAGTACAGAGTTAAGAGGTCATGTGGAGAAAAGTACTTCTTAGCCCTAAAACAAATCGCCTAGCTTTTTCCCAGCAGCTGCAGCTACTGACAAGATATGTTCGTGCGAAATCAAGTCCTTGGTGACCTGGATTCCAACCAGCCGAAATGAACGGCTCTTTGGTAGAACTCGGTCATCCATCGAAACCGGATCAGCGCTAGAGCGCTTCTTGTTAGTCAAGGTGCTATAGTGTATTTTTCAAACATTAAGCTGTACCAGATTGTTTCGACCCCCAACACTGACAACTTCCAGGTTTCTCATTGGAGAGGAAGTCGCTGACAGTCTTCTCTTCACCAGCTCACTGGTAGTGATCGGCTTGTCACTCTGAATGCATGAATGGTGTTATCAGCAAAGCTGTAAATCGGATTGATCTTACAGGAAAGGATGTCGTTAACATTTAAGAGGAACAACGTCGGAGTCCAGACCGATCCCTGGAAACAGCCGGGTTGACATTGTGAGATGAGATGAAGATCCGTCAATTATGACGGATATCTTGCGGCGAGAGGAAGTCAGCCACCCATCAGCATAGCTTCTTTAGGACGCCATAGGACTGGATGAGTTTGCTCCACAGTTGTGTGACGTAACCATTCCTTGTATGCATTACCTTTACACATTATGACTCTTATGTAGTATGAGCCTTATGTCACATATATTATGAGACATATTACTTACTCTAAATACAAAGCTGTGCTACATCATTCACAAACACCCTAAATTGACTCCCTTTAATAGTCAATATTTTGGAAGTTATGTTATCATCTACAGTTTTTCAAAATCGCCGAAGAACAGTTTCGTGCATAAATATAACCTACTCTACCTCAATGTATCAGTTATTTCCCCAAACAGCCCGTTTCTGCCCCCATAATCTTTATATAAGGAATTTTAAAAATAACCTATTATTTATCGAAATGCCGAACGGCCGACGTTCAAAAAATTTGTTGACTTTTATGTGGCTGAAGAACCGATCGATTGAGCGCGATCGAAAACGTTATAAAGGCAGCAGTGCACCAAATTTGTCATTGCAACATACAACCACGTTTTTTCGCTTTAAATGTGCGTAAATCAATGCGGTTTTCACGTAATATTGTTTATTTTATGTGTTTTTATGTGTCATTGAAGTCTAGCCCCCTTCCCCAAAAACATCCCCAAAGTTGCGAGTAACGCGAAAAAGATATTATTTCGTGAAAATTATGAAATGAAAAAATACAGTTTTAGCGTTAGTTGCATAAGACAAACATACCTCAAGTGCCCTTGAGTGGACATGGTAATATCTCATGGTTTGCCTCCAAAAAATATATAGAGATAAAAAATTACTATGTTAAATCAGATCGGAACCCGTAATTGTTGAAAATCACTTTACGCCCAACATTTTTTCACGGATATCTAAGCAACTTAATGAGTTCCAATAGCCCCTGATAATCGTTTGCTCGAGCGGGGTCCCGAAAATACTTTTTTAGGGTTAGGCGTTCTCACTAAAAAAAAGTATATCAAAAAAATTGGCTTATGCCCAATATTTTTTTGTGCGAATCGTGTTTATTTAACATGTTCTAACATTCCACCAAACCGTGTTCCCCAGTGGAGTCCGGAACACCCCCCACTTCGATCAGAATTCGATCAGACACCTGTCATTTTTCAAAATCGCTTTACGCCCAACTTTTTTTCACTGATATCTGATCAACTTAATGTGTTCTAATAGCCCCTGATAGTAGTTTGCTCGAGCGGGGTCCGAAACATACTTTTTTAGGGTTTGGGTAGGTTTACATGGCGTTCTCACTAAACAAAATATATTTCAATAAAATTGGCTTACGGCCAAAAATTTTTTGTGCGAATCGTGTTTATATAACATTCCACCCAGGGGGGTCGGGAACACCCACATCCGCACTTCGATCAGACACCTGTCATTTTTCAAAATCGCTTTATGTATTTTTTACAATACTCCAGTGACCCTTTATATACCTTATCTATGACGAAACTCGATACATTTTTAAAAACAAAGATATAGAGGAAATGTTTTGTTGCGATTTGATCATTTCTTCAATAGGAATCGTCGACTGATGACATCTCAGGTCGATACTGTAGTAAATTTGTTTTTGCTAAAAACATGTTGAGGTTTGCTGTACAGCCTGCCGCATCAAAATGTACAATTGCACCTCTAGGTGGGACGATGTTTAGCTGGCATTTAGTATAGAGGAGAACTGCTAGCGGCAATGAGACATATCACAAATAATGGTCACGCTGGTTATGCTGCTCAATCCACAATTGAAACAAATCGGATAAGTTCCGCGAACTGAGCAGCAGTCTGTTCCCGCATATTGTATTGGATGCAATTTTGTGGTAGCTGGTCAATTGGCGAAGGTCTTGCGGATGCCCATCTTACAGCATAATGGATTTATTTTAAATTGTAAATGTTATATTTTTAACATTATGTGATACTACTAATGAATCAAATATCTTTGGGATCAATAGTAATACAGGGTTATTTACCTACACAAGTTGTAGAAGAGGATTTACTGTATTTTAACACAATGGTGCACCTATTGTACCAGGATGTAATTCCTCACAGTATAAAGCTAAACACTTTCAAAAGTTATTGGTTCATTATTTATTTCATACTTGCAGACTCATTTTATGTTGGTAAGTAAAGTAAAATTAAGCCATTTCTAACAGAACCTTGTCGAAATATTTTCTTCACTATATTTGTTGATTACATTCAACCTATTTTTCTTGGATTTAAAAGTATATGAGTATTTTTAATATATAGCTTTTTACGTAGGTAGATATTT